TCACGACGACGGCACTTGAATTCGTGCTCGTCGAGGAAAGTCTATCCTCGCAAAGTGGGGGAGGTTTTGACGAGGCCAAGATTGGAACTTGGAATGCCCAAATTACGCCTTGGCCTCTCATCGGAACCTCAGCGGTCGATTGGGTCGATTGGCCACCCGTCCACACATGCTTGGCGGCAAGCCCGCAAAACGACGGGCAATACCAGACTCAACTCTCCACTTAGTTAATAGTCGAGTCGTTCTTGGGGTTGGGCTGCAAAAACCTGAGCAACAATCCCGAGTTTCATTTGCTAAGGCCCGCGCCGCAAACTCTAAAGCCACCCGGGACATGTTGAGGATATCTATATCCCAACTGGACGCCTTCTTTTCGGACTCTATTACAAGAACAGACAAAAAGACCGTGCGAGGCGTCCGGGGTTTCTTTCAAGTGGCAGCGCACCTCGCACAACAGGCTTGGAACAAAGCCATTACGGGAAAGACATGGACAGAGTACATCCCCTAGACTGCGATAAGGCTCCAATCGAGTATCTGCAGGGATATATATCCAATAAGAAGCTAAATGTAAAAAGGTACATTTACTTACTATAAAATTAAGTGATAATAAGTGTAACCTATAAGATAGTATTTTACAAACCACTACATTTAACTTAATACAATCCTAGCGCGATTAACGGGTCGCCCTAAGGTCACCCGCTATCAGCATGTGCATTGTGGAGCTCGCAACCCCTTTGGAGCCTTATCGCAGTCTAGGGGATGTACTCCGGTAACCCAATGCGAATGCATGCATGCATGAGCACACAATAAGCAAGGTGGTGGCAGTCTCTTTGCAGCCCGGAACCCTGTCGTTGCTTGCAAATGTCTGCCACACACGCAAGATATACTCTGGTCGAGATCCACCTCGGGCTTCAAGACAAGATCCCAACTGGGCCACGGCTTAGGCCAGAGCGGATACCAGACATTGCGCGGCCATGCAGTTTCGCGGAGAGCGGAGCCTGCCAGATGCCTTCGAATGTTTGGGCTGACGAGGTCATTCGGAGATGGAAGGGGAAGCTCGTATTGGGCATCGTCCACACAGTCACCACTCACGCCGACATGTACAAATATATCACGACGCTCCAACCAGGCGACGGCTGAGTCGTGCTGCCGTACAACCCTCTGAACACACACTCGACTCTTTGACGTGCGCTTTTCCCGAGCCTGTTTCCTGCCTCGAGGCTGCCTCCAGGGTCATTCGGCAAGATCTCGTCTTGCGCTTACAACCTGCCTTGACCGCAAGGTCCAGCTGCTTCGTTCCAGAGTCACGCGTCGGTGGCTGTCGCTCAGCTGCCGCTCACATCCAATCCAGCCATCGCCTTCCAACCTCCACTCGATCCAAGGAAGAGCCCACGACCCTCCTCCCTTCAGCCAGGGAAACCCGACGCTGGTCAAACGCCAGTCCACCCATTGAGCCCGTTGTCGAGCGGGGGGCCCTGACCCGTCAACGTCATAGCCCACATATTACAAGTCGTATCTTCCCACGCCCGCTTCGTCTCTCTCTTGCCTACCTGCAACTGCAATTTTCTCCCATTTCGATCCATACCACACGGCTGCATTTATCTGGCCGCTTCTGCGTACCTTTGACGAACAAAATCTACAACCGCTCTTGGCGCTGCTATTCTCTCGACTTCAGCACCCCCGCCTGATTTCCATACAAGCACTGCCACAAGGAAACGCCTAGGCACTGAGTTTGTACCCAACGAATTTACCATGGGTAGTGAACGTTGGGAGCGCGATCGTTTCGAGGACGATAGATACTACATGAGGGGCGGCAGGGGCCGGGAGCGTTCTGAGGATCGCTACGACCGCAGCCGATACTATGAAGACGACTTTGTGCGAGATCGACGATACTACGACGATGAGCCCCGATACGAGCCAAGAAGAGAGCCAGCCCGTCATCCAGACTTTGATCGTCGCATGGTCATAGAGAAGGAAAGAGACCGAGAGTACTATAGGGATTCTTCCCCGCGCAGGCCTGCTTTCCTGCGACGTCAGTCTTCCTTGGATACCTACGACCGACGTCCGCTTCGCAATATTTTCGACCAGCGCGAGGAGTACCCCCCTCCTGCTAGACGAGAAGACATATTCAGGGACGAGTATCGGGCCCCACCCTACACACCCATTCCTCTTCCAAAGGCCAGAGGCCTTCCCCCTCCCGGAAGACGGGATGATCGCTACTATGACTATCGTCCAGAGTCGGAGTACTATCCGGAAGACGAATATAGACATATGCCAGAGCGTGTTAGGGAGCGAGAAATCATCAGGGAGCGTGATAGGAGGGATAGGAGTCGAGAATCAAGGGGTACTCGAACTCACACCCACCGCAGCAGCTCACGATCCTCGAGCAGCTCATCTAGCAGCGACGGCGGAACCACGGTTCGCAGCGAGTACCCGAAGAAAGGCAAAACTAAGATTCCAGTCCGTTTAGTCTCCAAGAGAGCGCTTATTGATCTCGGATACCCTTATGTTGAAGAGGTAAGATTGATTTTTTATTTATTTATTTTTGCTTAGCTGTATTAGGCTTGTGCTGATGTGATGTAGGAAAACACAATCATCGTTCAAAAGGCCCTAGGCCAAGACAATATCGATGAACTACTGAAATTGAGTGAAGAATATATGAAAGGTACTGTATCAGTCAATCTTGCTGCTGTACTCCAGATAGGGTCTTTTGCTAATCAGGCTTCTAGTTGATCAAGAGGTTGTCACGGCCCGCTCTGCTGCTGGCGACATAGTTGAGGAGCGAATCGAGGAACGGAAGCAGAAAGTCATCGAGACAAAGGCCCCGCCACCTCCCCCACCGGTGGTTGTTCCGGCACCAGCTCCTGCCCCCATTGTGGTCCCGCCTCCGGCTCCGGCTCCGGCTCCAGTTCCTGCCCCTGCCCCAGCTCCGGTTATCGTGGATGCAGGTCCTCGCGTCGACGTTGTAGACAAGACCGTCATTCGGGAAATATCGCCAGCACGAAGCTCCAGTAGCTGGGACTCGGGTCACACTCATCACCATAAACACCACCACCACCATGATGATGGTGCGCTTGTAGTCGTGCCTCGTTCCCGTTCCAGATCTCGGACCCGCCGCGATATCCGCGCTGAGATTAAGGCACTGGAACGAGAACTTGTACACCGACCAAGGGGAGAGGTGGAGCGTGAAGTGGTCCGAACTGAAAGACTACCGGACGGCCAGCTTGTAGTTTATGAAGAGGAAGTTGAAAGGACAGTTGCCCGCCCTAAACCTCCTCGGATTGAGAAGGACAAGAAAGGTAGGATGTCCATCAGCGTACCAAAATATCGCTGAAGGTGCGCACGTTATTTGCAACTTGTATCCATCGCTAGGCTGAGCTTGCAGCTGACGAGATGCTGAGCAGGACCACCCCCAGCTCTGATCCGAGCCATGTTGAGCACTCTGACGTGAAAGCGGAAAATGAGACGCTCATCAACACCGATGGTCGAGTGGCTCAAAGCAAGTCGATTGTGACGTGACAGCATTCGCCGACTGCATCTGCGAATAGATGTATGGCTTCTTATGGCCACAAAGTGGACACGAAAGCACAGGGCTTGATTTTGTCTTCAAGCGTGGACAATATAGATTCTATGTGCTCGAGCCTGGCGCAGAATGAAATCAATACGTTGGGCAAAGGGGATATCAAAGTAAGCGTTTGGAGTTACGATGCCATGACCATGTACTCATTTGGAAGTTTATAAAAATCATTTACATGTAGCCATTTTCTTGCAAGAGGGGGCTTTCTCATGTATGCGACAGCTTTACAGCAATTCATCAACAAAGCCTCTTGCACTGCAGGGTCCCCCTTAGCAAGGCGGACACATGTACTATTATTACGGGTCAGCTTTAGAAGGCAGCGATGCTCTTTCCATACTATCAATTATATTTTTTTTTTTTTTGGGGGGGGGGAAGAGGGGGATGATTTTGGGAGAATGGCATTTTAGCAGAGTTAACATTCATATAACATGTCGTACAACGTCAGGGTCGTGTCTCGTATTTGCATGTGAAATGAGACGTCAAAAGTGCTCTCGAGTGTAAAATGTGCACGCAGCATCATTAGCAACGACTCTTTGGTACGTGGTTTGTATGTGGTCGACGGCACGGAGTGTCGGGCCATCGGAATCATTCCGACATGTGAAAGCCAACGCCACTTGGAGACTCCCCCATCCCGAGGCAACATTGTTCGAATTTGGATGAATCCCGACGAAATGAAACCTTGAAATAGGCACGATTGCCACCATGACGGGCGAGAAGCACACCATGTGAACCTGCCAGAAATAGAAAAAAAGAAATATTGCGTCAAGAACCACCAGTTTTCACCAGCCCATACCAGGACATTATTCTGGTTTGCCGGACTCGCGTCTCTGTCTCCCACCAGGCGGTTCTGACCTCAACACCATGACGGCGGTGGCCCTCGACGTCGCGCAACTCTGCTTTTCATTCTAACAAATATTTTTTTTTTTTTTTGGGGGGGGGGAAGAGGGGGATGATTTTGGGAGAATGGCATTTTAGCAGAGTTAACATTCATATAACATGTCGTACAACGTCAGGGTCGTGTCTCGTATTTGCATGTGAAATGAGACGTCAAAAGTGCTCTCGAGTGTAAAATGTGCACGCAGCATCATTAGCAACGACTCTTTGGTACGTGGTTTGTATGTGGTCGACGGCACGGAGTGTCGGGCCATCGGAATCATTCCGACATGTGAAAGCCAACGCCACTTGGAGACTCCCCCATCCCGAGGCAACATTGTTCGAATTTGGATGAATCCCGACGAAATGAAACCTTGAAATAGGCACGATTGCCACCATGACGGGCGAGAAGCACACCATGTGAACCTGCCAGAAATAGAAAAAAAGAAATATTGCGTCAAGAACCACCAGTTTTCACCAGCCCATACCAGGACATTATTCTGGTTTGCCGGACTCGCGTCTCTGTCTCCCACCAGGCGGTTCTGACCTCAACACCATGACGGCGGTGGCCCTCGACGTCGCGCAACTCTGGTCGCAGCTCGTGGCCACACACGACCCCTACACAATCGACGTGGTAGGGCATCTCGCGGTGCACCTCGTGTTCTGGTGGCTCCCCTGCGTATTCTTCGTGTCGCTGGACGCCCTGGCGCCGGGCTTCTCGGCGCGACACAAGATCCAGCCGGCGCCCAAGCAGCCGGCGGCGGCGGAGATACGGCAGGCGGTGCTCGTCTCGCTGCGCAACCAGGCCATGGTGCTGGCGGTGCAGGCGGCCCTGGGCTACGAGTCGGCGGCGAACGGACGGCGGCCGGCGGTGCGCGTGGAGCCCGGGCTGCCGTCGGCGGCGGAGCTCGCGCGCGACGTGGTGCTCTGCGCGGCCGGGCGCGAGGTGCTCTTCTACTACGCGCACCGGCTGGGC